ACATCCATTTAGTAACCTGATAACCAGCGTATACTGTACATGCCTTGCTGCCTCTTCCTAAGTAGCCTCCACTGCCTCTGACACCACCTCACTCTCTCCCACTCTATGCTTTTAAGACATTCGTAAAAGGAGGTCGTATTGACAAAACAATCGCTTGCCGGGGCTTAAACACTGCCTTTAAAGGGGCATTATTAAATTGCGAGCAGGAAGGGGAGGGGCCGCCAACAAGGGAAACCTGATGACCCGTGCATCGATTTTTACATCAGCAGAGCGTTAGGAGAACTTAGCGGCCAGATAGACTGTAGCAGACAAAGCAAGGAGAAAAGAAAGGGGATTTACATGTAAGGTATGGCTGATACACTGAGTTCAAGATGGACAGTGAAGGTCATTCATGTCAGCAAAATAGCCAAAACATACACTTTGCACACAACAAAGTGAACAATGATTATGCCCTTTCTTTTGCTCAACCCTGTTCATTTATCTGAGTTTGAGAATACACTGTTTCCTATAATTTGGCTTGAATGTTTGGGACAAAATTGTACATATAAGGGAGCTGTGTTTCAAACAGCACTCACCCTTGAACTAGATGAACTTTGTATCTCAATCCAGCTCATGGTGAATATATTTAACGGTAGGATTACTCCTACTCCTACTCACAGCCTGGTTAGAACCTTTACACAGTACTTATTTAAGGTAATATTACACTTGAATTTAACTTTCTATCAGTATAATCTGAAACCTGAAGTGACTGTGCTAGATTTTTTTCATGTAATAATAAAGTGACATTTGTTTTGCTCCAGTATATTTTAAAAGGGTCAAAACAAGACCGCAAAGTGCAGTTTGCATGTAGTATAAAGTGTTTTTATCTGCTGTGATCTAGGAGGTAACACTGGTGCACTTTTAGCATGCTAGTTAGTGTAATGAGGTACAAACTCCACTTTGGTCTCTGAAGTTATGAAACATGCTTAAAAACTAATTGATGGATGGTATGAAAGTGATTTATAAGACAGTAAAAATCAGGTACTGTATATCTCTATTTAATCAAAGACTTGTTGTGCATAGAGACTGAGCATTAACCTTTCTCCCCGTCCGTATGTGAGAGTATATGTCCTGTTTGCACTTGGGCGTGTGTCATGATGTGCTATAAGGAGATCAGTGGTATTATGTTCTTTCTCTCCCTCTCTCCCACTCATACCTCTTTTTCATTCAAATTGAGATTCCCTGGTGCAGAGTATTCTTGCCAATAATTTATGAGTGATCTGCACCCCTTGTCGGCCTTTAGCATTTTTATTTAATCTGCTGAGCCCTTTCGCGTGCGCTCTCATCAATAATACACGTGGACATGTGTGTTAACATATCTAGGGTGTGCGTCGTGAAGTCAAAGAACAGTGTGTATAGGACTATTAGAATAAAGCAGCTTGTATGAATGGTATATTGTGTCCTAATGGGATGCTATCATATCAGAGACAGATACACACACTAGCTACATACATTAGTAACACATGATGGAATTACAAATCTTCTACTGTGACCACGAGCAATAAAGCATTTACACCAAATGCCTGAACAATATTAACATCCAAGCCATATAAAAGGTCCTATATTACATAAAATGGATTCTAGTGAGCTTTAAGTCATGTTATAATGTCGTTATAATATTTCCTCATCAAATACATACCTGGAGTTGTGTTTTGTTTTAGTTTCACTAAAGGTGTATGGAGTTTAAAAACAGTGGAGTGTTTTCAGTTTGAGAGAAAAACTCAGTCTAAATATGCAGGGTTCTGTTAAACATGTGTGAATTGAAATAAAATATTCAGTTATTTTTTTGATGAGGAAACACTATAACATAGATCAGAAAATACTGTAATATGGGCCCTCTAATGTCATTATTTCCATACTGATGCTTGTTTTGACCAGGTCTGATTGTATAATTAAGGTTTTATACATTTAGACCAAGCATATCCAATAAAGTGGCTAGTCAGTGCAGATGGACTACAAAAATGGCTGCCACAAAGTTCATATCTGGTCATCCGATTGCGTTCGGCCAAGCATGAAATGCACCTCCAGTAAGTGTTTCATGCTTCTCAAGAGCTTTAGACATGATTTCACAGTTGTAGACCGTACTGGAGCCAGTGTGCCTGCTTTTGTGCATATGTCACCGTCTATATATTCACATGGCAAAGAATAGATTGAGAAATTGACTTCAACAAGTGAGTGGGTCAGGAGGTAACATCAGCAGGTGTTGCTATGGAGATGCCAGTCTTCCCAAACAGCACAACAACAGGCTGTGAAATGGCCCTTCCCCTAACATAACCCCTATCTCTCTCCACTACTATTATCCATTTTCATTCAACCTCTTGCTTTATTTTCCTTTATTGTTTCTGTCTCAGTCACCCTTCCATGTCGTAATGCACTGCTAAAAAAAAAAAAACATGCATGGAAATTTGCCCGTGGACAAGTCTGTATGCACTGCTCGAACTCTTGAGGGGGTAGCGATGTCCCAGCATGCAATAGGGTTTAACAGCTAATACCCTTTAGATTAGCCACCCCCAGGTCCCCCTGTGTCACATACACAAATGAACATCTTCCACAGAACCCAGATTAACCTCCTACGATTGGCACCGGGTCTGTTTTGGTCTTGCGTACAGACCTTAAGGCGGCGTTGCTGTTCCCCCTTAAAACCAAACATAACAAACAATATGAGAGCATGCAGTCAGCCTTAAGTGACCAAGCTCCTGTGCATGTGACTGTAGCACACACTAACGCACACTCACATGCGCACACACACGCACACACACACACACACACACACGCACACACACACGCACACACGCACACACACACACACACACACACACACACACACGCACACACACACGCACACACGCACACACACTACAAAAACTAAAATCTGGCCAAGTTAAATTGACTTGAATTAAGAACATATTATATTGATTTGTGTAAATTCCACATGACAAGTAAAATTATCTACCAATGGAAAAACATATCTAGTTACCCTGAAGATAACAAAAACAATGACTCTTTGTACTTAAAATAAGAAACTAAACCATATACTGTTTGAATTAAGAAAAAAAAATACTTAATCCAGTGGTAGATCATTTTACTTGTCAAGTGAAATCTACTCAGATCAAGGTAAATCTTATTAATTTGAGTAATTTGAACTTACATACTTAGATATTACCTTTTGCAGAGCACGCACACACACACACACACGCACACACACACACATGCATACACATACATACACACACACACCTGCACAGTTGTGTTTTTATCTTTTACCCTGTAAGAAGTGTTTCCCTCTGGATTTCGTAAGGGTCATGTGATTTGATAACCTCAACAGGATTCCCTCTGGCCTCTCTTCTCCAGCGCCTATGTCAATGTGTTAGAGCCATGTATTGTTTTGGTACAACATCCATCCTCCACAGACTAATATGCCATGGCTTAATCTACTATCTGTCTCCAAGGGCTCTATTTAACAATGGAGTAATGTTAACAGCATTATTAGAAAACTGGTAATAATGGCTTTCTCATGCCTCATTTACTTGTTTCATATCCTTTCTTATAAACATCCAATTCTCATAATGCCTGGATACTACTTTTTAAAACATAATCATCAACAAATCTCTTTGCCCAGCAGAATAGATCAAGTGAATTGCTTGTTTGTTGGCTATAACCTTGAACTACAGAGGCATTTCTTAGTTATTTCTTAGTATTTCTTACTGCTCCTATCTTTCTAGAGCAGCCACCTATCGCACAAACTGTTTCATACAATTACTATTTAGAACACAGGGCCTCTCAGATCAAACATTCACTGGCTCGCGAGCTCCATGTCTCCAGCCTCTTTAATTGGACACGGCTAATAACGCTAAGTATGCGCTGATAGCCATCTCGCTGATAAGACAAGCCACACAAGGACATAAGGGCTCTGCTTTACCTTTTACGGTGCTACCTAAGGTTAAAACCACTAGTTAGCTACCGCGTTTATGGCCCCAGTCAGACTTGCTACTAGCCAATTACCAGCCTAGGCGGCAATTAAAGAGCACTCATTTGCTAAAGTAGCTAAAGCATGTTATCAATCACACTATGAACTTTTTACAGAGAAGCCGCAGCTAACAAGGACAATTAGAAATCCTCAGCATGTAGTAGTGAATCTTGTATACATTAATATGGTAATTAGACTGAAGACCACAAGCCAAACCAACCAGTATAAGGTAGTTACATGAAACACTCCAAAGGGCCTCATGTGATTATATAGTACTATGCAAAAGATTATATAGTGCCTTGGAAAAAATTGTGGGGAAGTAAAGCAAGAGTTTTTAATTGAAAGAACATTTTAAATAAACTTTCAATTTCAAAAGTGGCAGTGGCAAAAGCTGACGTTGAGTTCTTGGGCAAGGCACTTCTCCCACACTGTCTAATGTGAATGTGGCATGTGCGTGTGACTGTTGGTGGTGACTGGAGCAGCAGCCTCGCTTCTGTCAGTCTACCCCAGGGCAGCTTCGGCTATAACAGTAGCTTACCACCACCGAGTGTCCAAAAAGCGCTATATAAATCTGATGCATTATTATATTTTGCACAGCACGGTAAAAAGCGTATTTTTATTATTCAAGTTATGCCAATCAAATATGAAACACAAATTAAATATATTAAAATAAACTTTTGCTATAAGAAATTGCAAAATATGCAAGTTGAAGCCTAAGTAATTAGTCTCCATGCGAACACTTTTCCACTATATGCAATTCGATTTTATTGGGTGTTGACTCTTAATCAGAATGGGTGCTCATGTTTGGGCGGTTGGTTTTGGAAAATTACTGGAGGCCAAATCTCTTAAAATGGATTGATCTGTGAGAGACGCATTACTAAAAACTTGTGTACGTGTGCATAGGGGCGGAGTAGAGACTTAAATTTTCATCATTAGATATCGTATCGCCTGGGGGGACAAAACCATCATATTGACTTGCTTGTTGACTACTTACCAGTTGTTCACTTGTAGAATGGTAAGGCCTGTGTCTTGTGCCAATTGCTTCTTCTGTTCTTCCGATGGGTATGGATGCTGAAAGGTAAGAAAAAACATGGTCACACATTTTACTAAAAGGCTGTCAACTCTTTGTTTAATCAAGCATAGGACAGATTAACTTCAAAAACAACATAAAAAGCATTCTTGTGTAAAGGTGTGAATGTACAGTACAGTAATTCTCAAAGCACTAACTCTCTCTCCTCTTAGATCATTAATGGAATATGAAATCTTGTAATTAATGGCAGGCAAAAAGGCAAGCCAATTAGAAAGTTAAGTGAAGTGGAGAACCAGCGCTGGTAATTAGGCAGCCTCTTACACAAATATATTCACGTCAATGCCCCCACCCTTTGCATAATCAGACAGCAGGGATCAGTAACAGTGACCCAATGGAATACAGACAAGAGAATACTAAATCATCTGTCTTTAGTGCCGCTCATTACATCTATTTTCATTGTAATTAATAGCCTTCATTTGTTGCTCATTCGTCAAACTGAACTTTAATAAGACACAAGATTTGGTGTATTGTTTGTAAATGGAGGGACTAAAAGCAGTGAGAAAGGAGGACAAGATGTCTCATCTCTTAGGGAAATTTTAAATGTGAGAAGACAGCTTTTGTCTTTTGGAGATTAGGTCAGATAAACAGCTTATGATACAGTGTATGATATAGTTTAGAGAGAAAGTGAACATACTGATTAAAGGGTTAAAGGTGCATTGCTCAACCTCTCTGGTGGAGGGTCTGCTTGTCTTCATGGAGATGTTATTGCTATATATAAATGTATACATGGCTATATTACAGGTTGGATCTGTGGAAAGGCAAGCCTATTCACAGAGAAAATGATTGTATTTATGAGCAATAGAAACCCATAATGAATAAATGCTAGCTAGATGTGTTTAATGCCATACCATGGTACATTCCAGGCAAAGAAATATCATTTCCATGAAGGCAATGCACCTTTAAGTTTAAGAAACTGGAATTTCGTGAAAGAAGGGAAAGAATTTGACATGAGCCAAGAGAAGAAGACAAGATGAACACTACACTCATTTTGATACTTTTGGCTTGCGTGTTGTTTAAATATATGAAATTAATAAATTGGATAATGTGAATACTGGAGAGAGTTGGTTTATGTTAGACTGAAGGAGGTATCAGTTGTAGGAAGCCTTGTTCACAGAGGACAATGTGCTGTTCATGACTCCAGACAAGACATAGACTGTTTGTGGCCATCAGCAGGGTTTAAAAGAGGGAGGAAGTGGGGGTATAGTTGCTTTTGAATGCTATATTCTGCTACCAATAGACCTGTGTACACAAAACATAAACCCCCAAATCTGTAAAAAAAAATTGTAGACCATTGATACATTAATTTAGGACTATATGGAAACAATGGCTATTTGATATGATTTGCAAACCATATTTCACTTATTTTTTTACATTTGTGTGCCAACATTTTGTAATTCACATGCAGTTTGGTGTATTTGCCTGGCTATAAAGTAGGACTGTATGAACAAGATATCTAAATCGGCACAATATGCTACAAATCACTGTTAATATGTAATATTTCATAACGCATGAAGTGTCTACGGTGTGTAATGGTCAATCAGACATGCAAAATCAACACGGCGCCTGTTATTCCTGCGCATAATGAATGAGACTGAGGAGAATGAAGCAAAGAGACAGTTAGAAAAGCAGTGATAGAGAGAAGGGGTTTTTCTCCTGGCTTTCCCTAGTCCATGTGATTCGTTGTGGGGACGAGGAAGACAGTGAGGCCAATTTCATGTGCTAACTTATAATTGCACTGTCCCCTCCAGCTACAGTCATGTCCGTTCAACTGTTGACTGTGTTTTCTTGTCTATGTGGGAGCTTCATTCATGTTGTTTATACGCTTTTCTATTGATAATGATGCACAAATTATTGGCGCCGTTCGTCTGGGTATAAACTATTTATTTCTGACCATTTCCCAAAGTAAGACTCTTAAGGCATCTCTGTGCGTCATTTGATTTTACACGTAGACTCTGCGCTCATAGATACAATACATTGATGTTAACCATATGAACAGCATACTTTTTAAGGATGACAAACAAAGCCGATAATAAAAAGATCAATGTGTCCATTCTACGTGTTGTGGATCTATGAAAGCGAAGAGTGTCTGCCTCGTGATGCAGAGGGGGGAGCTGCGGCCACGCCAGGGGCCACAGGCTAGCACAAATACAGCCTGTTTCAGAGCACTGGCCTGCCCTGGCTTCCCAGCACACATTCAGAGGGATACACAAGTAGTCATATGCAGACAGACACGCACACCAACAAAGCCAGCAATACTGCGACAGACACTGCCACTGGACAAGCTTATGACACAGGGAAATATTGGGAGACCACATGTGTTAGCAAGCTGTGGTCAAGAAACACATCTCATATTTAATTCCAGTTCAGTTCTGTGACATTTTAGATGGTCATGTCTATCAGAATTAAGAATATATTGTTTTGTTTTGTTTTTTCTTCATAAAATGTAAATATGCATATGCTTAGAGTTATATTGGATTTGTGGATAGACATATTGACACACAGGAAATTAGATAAAGATTTGGGACCACACATCCCAGAATAAAAAATATGCAAATTGGCATAAGCTGGAGTCATTCCTCCTACCCTTTTAATATGTAATACCAATACATTTCTAGTCTTTATCTTGCTAAACAACTACACAATTCCATCATTATCTATAGCATTTCCAGTGTAACAGGTTGCTCAGTTTGAACTCTATTTGAATGGCGTCTCAGGAGTGTAGCTCGGCCTCTTAGGGACAAAGAGACACAGAAAGAGAAGTTTTTTTGGTGCGGCTCAATAACATGTCCTTTACAGCAGCAGATGGAAAGTTTCGGCTGATCCTTCCCTCCCTTCCTCCATCCCTCCGCCTATCTTAATGATATGTCTTCTCCAAATATACTACTCCTTTCATGAGAATTTCCAGCCGGTTTGTAGCACTGGCCTGGGCTAGACTGTGAGCATGTGTGCACCAGGAGGAGGGCCATTCTCTGCCTTATCAGTCCAGCTGTGTGTGCGCGTGCATGTGTCAGAGGATCTGGTTGTCTTATATTAGTAACATTGTATCTGTCAGACATGGGAACATTTGCGTCATGTATAGAACACAGAGTAAAGGTAGGGCAGGGGTGGTGAGGACTCCTGTGTGGATGTGATGGTAAAAGACAAGAATACTGTCAGTATTTTAGTTATGATCCTAAGTGCTGCTTTGGGAGGGATTTTTAGAGATAATACCAAACTAAAGAATACTTAAAGGTGCATTGCACAACTTTTCTGGAGGACGATCTATCAAATGTTTTTCTTCATGGAGATGTTATTGCTTTGTCTGGAATGTTTCACAGTATGGTATTAAACATTTCTATTTTCATGAAGACCAAACCACACCAAGTTACAGGTCAGATCTGTGGAGAGGCAACCCCGCTCACCGTCAGAATGTCTGTTTTGAGCAGTAAAGCCACTGTTAACTGAATATACATGTAGAGCTGTTTAAAGTCATACTGTGGAACCTTACAGTGCACCTTTAACCAACCTCTTGGCAATGACTAAAATTAATGTGATTGTGAACTGAATCTTTTCATGCCACATGAAGACACCAGGTTATCTCAAATTCACTAGATAATATTAACAAAATTGCCATTTAGCAAGGGTCTGCAAGCATGAGAAAAATCTATAAGATATCGTGCTGAAGATGACAGATATTTGCTTAAAAGCCCATCTAATATATTGTACAGGTCTTAAGAATATGTTGTTAGCTCTCTGACCAATGACACCACACTGTACAACCATCATCCTTAAAAACTCTTGACCTTTGCCCATATATGGTCACAACTTCTGGTTTCCGGACAGTGTTATGCGTCATGAGAATCCTCGCATCAGCAACAGCCCTCCCTGACTGTCTGACCCTCACAGACCAGAACAAGAGTGGTCAGGATGGAGAGAGAGAAAAAGAGAGAGACATGGAAATTGATATGTGCTGCCCCTGGGGTTTAACACAGATAAAATATTCTGAGAGACCCCTCTTCACACTCCCTGTCCCGCATTTCACCCAAGGGACCACTATTTGAGGAAGACATGTGAAACAAAGTGATGAGAAATAATAACTATAATCTTGGCGTCAGACCATGCCTATTCCGCCATTAGTGCCATGGTGTTATCATTACATGTATTGCTATTTAAAGCCACACTTCCCAAGCCTGTCTTCATCCCATTAAAAAGCCCTGACATGCTACATTAGCTAACAGCAAGCATGAATCAAGATGGTTGGACAAGAATAAAAGAGAAGAAAGTCATATATGCATTTTTTCAGCCATGGCTTTAAAGAGAGGCCAGAATCTTGAGCAATCTACAAGCTGTTGAGAAGGATAGCTTACATTGTAAGGAAAAGTGATCCTGTATTTTAGTGGTCAAATAATAAATGGTATTGGTTGTTTGACCAAAAGAATAATACTATGTGGGAAACAAAGATGCAAGTATATCCATGTGAGTTACGGTCAATGGATTTTGGAGCTTTTATTTATTTTTCATGTCTGTATACTCCTGTGCGTTAAGGTATCTTACAGTGCAAAAAGGGTGAATCCATTTGGGCCAGTCTTGTGCATTTTAGCTGCAACTAATTTGATTTAAGATGACTGTGGCTGGTTGTTGACATGGCAGTTTTAGTAAGAGTAACCAAGCTTATTTGTCAAGACCTGTTCCCCTTACTATTCCCGGGTCAACTCGGCGTGGAAAGCGAGCTGCCCATCAGGAATGCCTGACGGCTAATCCAGGGGCCTTTTTGGCTAGAAGGGCATTGGGGTGTCATACCAAACTCAACAACACACACGTTCACAGCCACGCACACTTATGTACACACAGTTTACTGGAAGTGCAGATTTGCCCTTGCCAGAAGTGGATGAGATTACCTTAAATATTTGGGGAGGCGAGCACATTGTTATGCTAACAACAAATGCCCAGAACCCTGAGCATATGCAGACTTTAAAACAAGCTTTTCAAACCATTTTTCCTG